AACGGCCCTGGCTTTGTGCCATCCACTGGCCGAGTGGGGAAGAGAGACTTGGAGGATGTGGAGGTTGGAGTCGAGAGAATGGCCTATTCGCTACGGTGGTGGGCGAACGCAAATGTGGAGCAGCAGAACCAGGCCAATGCAGAACCGGACACATTCGACAGCAAAATTTGGCATATCAAAGCCCACGGTTTTGAACAGGGTCCAAAGCTGCCAAGGGAAGAAGAATTCGGCTTGGCCAGTTTCAAGCGCGAGGTCATGAATATCTACCGAACAGCGTCAGCTCCCCGGCCTAACATGTCTCGAAAAGACCGCGAGCGGCTTACCGACCTCCGCGACGATGATTCCGTGGTCGTCAAGAGGTCCGACAAGAGCAATAAGTTTGTGGCGATGAAGATGGCAACGTACCTTGATAAGGCCGAGACTATCCTGTCAGATGAGACAAAGTTCACACCCGTCAGTGTCACCATCGATGATTGGGAGAAGCAAACGCGCACCATCCTTCAACGCGTCTGTGGTGGTACACTAGAGAAGGACCTGTACCAAGCCATACTCCCTGGCGACAACAGGTTTCCGGAGATGTATGGCCTACCTAAAGACCACAAAGCCACGGTACCGCTTCGGCCAGTTGTGTCAGCTGTTGATAGCCCGGTGACCAATATTTCTATTGTCCTGGAGCGTATACTCAACCAATGCCTGAAGTATGTCCCAGCACATCTGAAAAACACGCTGGAAGCACTGGAGGATATCCGGCAAGTGTATCCCGACCTACAAGCCCCAGCGGGGACCATCATCGTTACGATGGACGTGGTCGCTCTTTACCCAAGTATCCCTATCGCTGAAGGGGTGCAGGCGGTTGCTAGAGTCCTGCAGCAGCACATCGAGTCTGTTGACACATTTGGTTTAAGCGTGGAGCAGATCGAAGAGCTGTTAACCTTCGTTCTAAGATCCAATTATTTCAGATTTGGTGAGAAGGTCTACCACCAGAGGGAAGGCATCGCCATGGGTAACAACCTAGCGCCCCCGTTTGCGATTATCTTCATGCATGACCTCGAAACCTCGCTGTTGCTAAACTCGCCTGGTGCTCCCGTACTCTACAAGCGTTATATTGATGACATCATTATGCTGTGGACACTGGGGGCCGCGCTTCTCCGCCAGCTGATTGCGTTCTTCAATACCGCCAATGCGAGCATCAAGTTCACGTATCAATCTTCGGAGGAAACTGGGTCGGTTGACTTTATGGACACGACTATTCATGTCTCCTCCGAGGGCGCAATATCATTCGAGCTGTTCCGCAAAGCTTGCCACAGTGGCCTCGTCTCAGACTTCAACTCCTGCGTTCCGCAACAGCAAAAACTCGCCATCGCGTCTTCGGAATTCCTCCGCGCGGCCCGCCTTTCCTCTGATCCTGCAGCCCGCCAGCGAAGTGAGCAAAAGGTTATTGACACATTAAAATTCAACAACTTTCCTGACAAAGTGATCGCGACTGCTCATGAACGAGCCAGACGACCTGCTAAACAGAAGAAAGACTATCGATCCACGTTGAAGTTACCATTCAAAACGGATGCCATCCACTACAGGGTCCACCGTCTTCTAAACAAATACAATCTAAATGTACAGATAATCTACAAGAATGCAAGGCTTTCCAACAGCGTCACTAAGTCCAGCCTCACTGGACCTTGCTGCCGTAAGTGGGTGGATCCCGCTGCCCCGAGGCGACGAGGAAGGCCTAAAGCCGCCTGCGTTGCATGCCAATCGAGCGAGGTAGAATGCACAAGACGCAACGTGGTTTATCGTCTGACCTGCAAGTGCTCGGAGAAGTATGTTGGAGAGACTGGCCGCAGTGTAGCAACGCGAACAAAAGAACACAATGATAACTCACGCAACAAGACGTCTGGAAAAGCCCTGGGCGAGCACTACCGACTTCACCATGGCGACGAGGTACTGCCGCTTGGCGAGTCGGCATTCACAGAGATTCGCGTCCTTGCCACTGAGTCGGATCGGGCCAGGAGGAGAATACGCGAAGCAATACAAATTCGCGACACGAGCCCCAGCATAAACAATAACGCAGGGTGGGACCTCCTGTGAATTCTCTGGTGAGGCCTTGTACATATTTCTGGCCCTGATACTCGCTCTTCCTGGATGGTGGTGGTTTAGCACCCCTTGAACTAGTGCACTGTTACTACTACTGTTGTTGCTAGCGCCTGCAATTACATGTCTGCACGCACCTAGTGCACATGTACATTCTGTTTGTTGCTTGTACCTGTGCCATTTTTAGAGTTGTCGCGTATTGCGTTATTTCTATACCTGGGTTTTTTTTTTTGGTGATGTTTTGTCCTTTTGTTCTCTCTCTCGTCATAGTGCATGCAGGTGTGATTTGTTATCAGTTTGCAGCGCTCCTCGTATATTAACCCATCCTAACCGGTGTGCCCACTTCATTCCTGATGATGGTTATTTCATGACCGAAACGTTGAAATATAATATTTTTCTGGTGAAAAGCAGTTATTTGAGTGTGAGCCAGTGTTGCTCACAACCAATTTTTTAATTATTATTATTATTATTATTATTATGGAGTTGGCGCAAGTCGTCGGCATTCCGCAGCTGCCCATTGTCCGACTTGGACAGATCGGTGTGGAGCTTGATTGGCAGTGTCACCCTCAGTCTCGCACGGTGCCTACCCTCGGGTGCCTGAAAGTATTGTTCCACGCTCAGTCGTGCAGACGTGTCCTTACCCAGGCAAGCCATATGCCGGAATAGGCTGCAGCATGAATTTTGGATCAAGCCCGACACTGGCTCCACTCCGCAGCGGGGCATACTAAGCCAAATTACTAATTTTCCGAGGTCAACACAGATCAATACAATTACAAAAAAACTCTCATGCCCACACACTATGTTGAAGTACAGTAAAACCTGCAACTAGCGACCACCGTGACTAGCAACTAGCCTGGTACTACAGATCACCGTGACTAGCGGCGAGCCTGGTACTACAGATCACTTCGCCAGGCACGCACGGTCTCACACTCATTATGGTCGTGCGGTGCAATCCTCCAAGGACCACCTGCCACTAAAGAACGCTTTCTCTGGCCCTAAGGGATGGTCGTTAGTCACAGGTTTTACTGTAGCATTGATGATGAATAAAAAAGTTTCATGTCCGGAAGGTTTTCTTGTCACAATCACCAGTGGAGTGTCGTGACCAGGGGGAAATGGGAAACAACCTAAGGATTTATACATTCAGAAAAGAGTAAATGAATGTGTCAAAAACAACAACAATAAAAGTATTATTGGATAAGAATGATAGATCTCCATGCCGCCTACTGTAAGGCCAGTAATGTTAACAAACATTTAACTCCCGTAGCTGTGCAAAAGACTTTACTTCAGTAACGTCTGACGCTAGCCAGGGTCCACACAGCTTTAATTTCATGTTTGTTTGTTTGTGCCGTCGGCATGCCTGGCACTATCCCGTACCGTACCGTACCATCAAAGACAGCTGGCCACAATATTCAAATAGGGCTTTCAAATGCAAGATCATAACGTGAAGCAACTTGGAAGAATGAGTATGAGTGTGAAGTGTGTCGGGGGAATGCATGCAGGGCAATAGTGCGGGTTCGAATCCTAGGTTATATCTTGAAAAAAAAAGAGAGAAATGAAACATTTATAACATCCCTATGCTTTTTTTGCCTAGGTCATCAAAGTGGTAGACGGTGTCGTATAACCCTCGAATGCAAAGAGAAAGTTTATTCCTTTCGCTCGGGGCCCTACGCTATGCTTTTTTGCCTAGCTCATCATGCATGTTATTCGAACAGATGGAAACTTTTTGCAATACAATGATGTAGCCGATCAGTTCCTTGTGGTATGGTTGGGCATTGTAGCCATCACGGTCGACGTAAAACACTATAAGGCCGCAATAATTTTATATAACCCGATAAATTCTGGAATTTCTTTTGCCTAGCTCATATTCATATTTTGCCGAACTCATATTTGCAATACAATGATGTAGCCAATTAATGAAAAAAACATTTCCAGCAGTTCTAATAACATGCATGATGAGCTAGGCAAAGAAGCATAGCGTAGGGCCCTGAGCTTCCAAGCTCTCTCGTTCTAATGATTCAGCGAATTTCGAAAAAACGTTAACATTTGAAGTCGTTATGTGCAAAACGCAAAACGATATGTACATGTACAGTCATTTGCCGGTTTTGATACAGAATTCGTTAGCATTTCACCTCGCTAACCCACAAAAATCCGGAGATCATTAACTTTAACCCATTCAGCGCTACTGGGCCTTGCCTATGGTACTCTGCATATAAAATGCTAAAAACAAGGCAAATAGAAAGTTCTAAAACTCCAGGGTTCTGGCAACTGGGTCCTCAAATATTTTGGAAATGATTGCCAAGACTATCAACCACAGGGTGACAGAATCGATACAGTCCCCGAAAAGAATAGCGCTTCACAATAGGGGACGCAAGTTTGCTCAAATTGCGTGAAATACGCTAAATGTGTGCAATTGCAGCTGAAAGATCGCTGAAAAGAGAAGAAAAAAAGACGCATAGTGTTACCAAGCGGGATTCGTACCGACGACCTATCGTACAAGAGGCAGGATCACGATCCAACTGACTAACAGTGCTTTTAAACACCTGATAGTGACGGAAATCACTATATATCCCATGACGTCTATAGACGTCATCCCGCGCATGGGGGGCATTTTCAATGACGTCTATAGACGTCATCAGCGTTCAATGGGTTAAATTGACGTTAAAATATCTGGTCTTACAGTATTTGAAGAAGGACTGAGGCTTCCTGCAGCTTCATCTCTGAAAGGAATTCGGGTGGACACACCCATTCCCATCGCGCTGCACATCCGAACCAGTTCCGTTATTTTTACAACGTTTCGGCACTTGGCCATCGTCAGGTAATAACAATGAATACCGTGGAAGCCACACAAGATCAGTATTTACATGACATTGTACTATAGTTTGGCTTTCCCTGATGAAAATCTTGTATCTTACATTTGTACGGGTGGACGATTCTTGTTCCCTCGAGAAGGCTAAGTCCTCCTGAAGCCGGCCACGTTCCGCCAGCAACCTGTTCATTCTTTGAAGGTTCTGCATTTACGCATGCACATACACACGCACACACATACACATGAGGGCACACACACACACATGTGCGCACACACCATGTACGCACACACACACGTACACACACACACATGTGTGCCCACACACGCCCGCCCACACACACACACACACACACACACACACACACACACACACACACACATGCACACACACGCACACTTGTACTTGTTGCTCATGGCCAAAACTGGTCACGTGGGTCTCCTCGGGAGAGGGGAGAGAGACTCAAAAGATATCTTGGAAAGATGACTCAATTGGCTATTGAACCGCCCAACGGCCGACATCCCCTGAGACCCCCAAAACTCTGGGTGGACTTGAAAACGATCCCACTTACAGGCTCACCACACCTCAGTAAGTGGATGAGGATAAGGTGCAGAAAAAGGAATGACGGCATCAGGGTATCCGTCCCGGGATTCAACTGCAGGTACCCCTGCCCCCAGCGAAGGTAATATTTGCTACTAGTGTGGGTGGCTAAATCAGAGTGGATCTGATATAAGCTTCACTAGCACTGTTGTAGTTGTAAGTCTAACATTACTTCTCCATCACTGCATCAGCTCAACCGCCACCACTGGACTGCCTTTTTACACTCTTTTATTGACAAATAACCAAGAACACGGAAAACGACTACATCTTGACAAGACGACAGACCAAAGACTAGCTCACACAGTTTCGCGCATGCGCACAACACCACCAACCAATGACGCGTGTCCACAGCGACCAAGACGAAACAAACACGTGACACCAAATCTACCACAATATCCCGACCAAAAAAACACATACCGTCCTCGGTATGACCAAATAAAACACAATACGCAGAGAGACGCAACCGCAAACAGCAAAAGTAGCCACAGGACCAACGCATGTAGCTCCCCAGAATAAAACAGGGCAACCAAAGCCAGAAGAAAGAAAGAGAGGTGAATGTTAAAGAGAAGAGAAGAAACACTGCATTGCTGTCTAGCCACGCACACACAAAAAAAACACAGGCTAAACCTAAGCCTAAAAACCGATGAGCCGTGCCCATCCACACAACGCCAGTCAAACCCATGATCTGACTGTCACCGAAAAACAAAAATAAATAAAATATATACATGGCAACGACAAACAAGCAGCGAGTCTAGCTCCCAGCAATGAACCGGGGCTCGCCCTGATCGGACGTTCGTTGCCTTCGATGTGGACTGCCACAAGGAGAACCAACCGTGGTTCACCATGATCAGACGCCAGTTCCCAAGACAAGTAGCAATTCAAACAAACTCCCGTATGCACGCACGCATGCACACACATAAACACTCACCGGAAAACAAAGAAAAGAAGAGAGATATGGAGAGAAGAAAGGCGGCGCATTCCCAGCCAGCACACGACTTCGGAGCAGCAGGAAGCCAACTGCGAAGTTGATACTCCACTCGTATCAGGACAACGAAACGGCGGACGCACAGCGACACTTGAACACAGCTCAGCGGAGGGCGTCAGCTTGATCGAATTGAGTAGACGACGACGACGGGACGACGACGACGGGACACCGGACGACGATACAGCACGACGACACAGCTCCACGACGAACGTTCGAACACGGACAGGGGTGACGAATAAACCAGGACAGTCCAGCAGTGACGGGAGCAACACACATCTCAGGGTCGTGAGCTGCGGAGGCAGAACTCCGCGTCGAGAGATAGTTGGGCGCCAAATGTTGTAGTTGTAAGTCTAACATTACTTCTCCATCACTGCATCAGCTCAACCGCCACCACTGGACTGCCTTTTTACACTCTTTTATTGACAAATAACCAAGAACACGGAAAACGACTACATCTTGACAAGACGACAGACCAAAGACTAGCTCACACAGTTTCGCGCATGCGCACAACACCACCAACCAATGACGCGTGTCCACAGCGACCAAGACGAAACAAACACGTGACACCAAATCTACCACAGCACCATTGATTACACAAGAGCTAATCTAGCCAGAGGCAGTCCATGGTTAACAGGTATGTATACTTATTTTCTTCACCATTTGCACTAGAAGATAAGTCCAGGGTGTAGGATAAGCTTGGGGGTTTGGGGCAAGGCTAGTTCAGCCCGGAGCACACTGACTAGGTGCGCCCCTTCATGCAGGCATGCGCTCCAAAGTTTTCAGATGACAGATCAAGGGGGGCTTAGCGTAAGCCGCCAAGTGTACTTTTCTCATGCAAACTCAGGTTGTAATGGAAATCACCGATGCTAGCTGCCACTTTTGAAGCTTACCGTTGCCATGGCTTCCTTAGTGCTCTCGATTTCTTCAAGCAAGTGACACTTTTCATCGTGACCCTTCTGGACAAGTTTCCTGAAACCAGCAGGATCAAAGAAAAGTGGATTCGCGCAAGATATTCAGTTCAGCCCCAGCTGGGCACTATTGCAGAAACGGGAGGGCAACAAACCATTAGCTAGTCCCATCTCACTCAAGTCCATACGAGCTAATTTTAAGACACGTCCTGCCGGCTATTGTCAAGGCAACCGGAGCTAAATACCATACTTGCGCGATTAGAGCCCTTGGGGCACTATTTTTTCAATGTCCATAACAGACGGGGCAGTATTCAAGAGAGGGCACTATTCAAGAGAGGGCAGTAATTTTTCATTGCTGGTACATTTGCGTCACCCAGCATAAAGCAAAGAAAAACAGAGCCTAAAGTGTACTGTAAACGCTCACGACGCCTGTTGTGAACCCTGCAAGATTCTCTAAATTGTCAGGATCGTACGACCACACGGCACGAGGACAACTCTTTTCCTTTACACAGTATATTTCACTTCATCTGATAATTAACAATGAACACTAATAACACCAGCTATTTATAGCATGCATAAACAGCGTACATGCAAAACATAAGCAGATAAAACTGGACATAACAGCGTATACAGCAAAAACGCACACAACGCATATAGCGTATGCCATGCAGCAACATCAGCGGTACGGCGGAGTCGAAATACAACATTTCAACGAATACAATGCCATAAGCGCGAAGGCCTTTCCCAATTGAGAACAGGTGGTTTACAACATTCTCCCCACCAAATCCGTACTGGTACTCAACTTAACCTTGGCAACACGACGCTTACCATCTCGACCAGGGAATAACTCGATGATCCGTCCCAAACGCCAGAACTGTTTGCGCTTGGTATCATCGAGAACAAAGACAACATCACCCACAGCTAAAGGGCGCGACATGGTCTGTTGGTGTTTGTTCAGCTGACTTAGGTACTCCACCTCCCAACGATTCTTGACATGCTCCAGTGTCCGACTGAGGTAACGCAATCTCGATGACATCTGCGCAGCGTCCAGGGTACCTGCTGGCTTCTCTGACGACATCCAGATGTCACCCATCATCATTGCAGGGGTTACTGGTGGCTCATCCAGGCTATCAGACACATAAGTTAGCGGACGACTATTCACCACTGCTTCAACCTCATACAAGAGGGTCTCAAGCTCCTGGACCTTCAGAAACGCTGTTCCCATTACCTTTTTCAAGGCACTCTTCACTGTACCAACCATTCGCTCATAGAAGCCTCCATGCCATGGTGCAGCTGGAGGATTGAACATCCATGGCACACCCAGTTTGTCAGATGCCGCCTTGAACGTTGTAGCGTTGTCAGACCTGATCCGAGACGGCAAACTACGTCTCGCGACAAACTTCCGAAATGCCATCAAGAATGACTCGGTACTTAAACTATCGACCACCTCCAAGTGAACTGCTCTGGTGGTGGCACACACAAACAATGCTATCCATACCTTCGGAGATGACTCACCACGGCGCACGTACAACGGACCAGCATAGTCGATGCCGGTAGTTGCGAACGGCCTCTCGTGAACAACTCGGTCTTCCGGCAGCGGCGGGCAGACTTCTGAGGCAGCCTTAGCCTTGTAGCGGCGGCATGTAACACATCGCTGAGTAATGTTGCGTAGCGCCCGTCGACCACCGATAATCCAGAATTTCTGACGGATGAACGACAAGACTCCTTCTACACCTTGGTGCATCCTTTCAACATGCATTTTCTCCAACAGCAACTCGGTCAGATGATGTTTGCCTAACAGGACTGGGTGCTTGGCTCCATACGCCAACTCGCTGTGCTGAAGTCGTCCCCCGGCTCTGAGCACTCCATGCTCATCCAGAAACGGTGCAAGCTGATACACCTTCGACCCAGGCTTCACTGGTTGACCTTGCTTGATCAGCTCAAGATCCTCAACGAAACATGCGGCTTGAACGATGCGGTACAATACGTTGTCTGCTGCAAAATAGAGTTCAGCACGAGGCTCAGTGTGCTTCCACTGCAACATCCGAGTCACCATGCCCTGTGCCCTCGACCATTTACTGAATCGGAGCCACCATTCCTTATCAGATTCTCGACTACAGGTGGTGGCTGACACTCGTACTTCTACACTGGACTCATCTGTAGCTGCGGTTGAGGATGCGGTGGGCCAGTCATTGGGCTCCGTGATCCAGGTTGGTCCGCCCCTCCAGAACGGACTACGGATCTGCTGTGCACTACTCCCACGCGACGGTAAATCTGCTGGGTTGTGAAGGCCTGGGCAATGGTTCCACACAATGCCGACCTTCTTCGATATCTCTTGGACTTGACTGATGCGGTTAGCCACAAATGTTTTCCATTTGTACGATGGATTACTGATCCAATGAACGGTAGTGAGACTGTCAGTCCAGCCATAGACTTGCGTGACGGTCACACGCAGCTCCTTCACCACAAACTCAGCGTAGCGAGCCGCTAGACATACTGCTTGTAACTCAAGGCGGGCTAACGTGGGTGGAGACACGGGTACCACTTTGGCCTTGGCAAATACCAAGTGCGACTGTCCATTGACGACTGCATACAAACAACATCCAAACGCTTTCTCACTGGCATCGGCGAAGGCATGAAGCGCAATCGGCGTGTCAAGATTGCAGCAAATCCAACGTGGTATGTCAATGCTCACCACTTCGGCCAACTCTCCCCACCATTGCGCGCATGCAGCTGCGATGCCATCAGGCAACGTATCATCCCAGTCGCCTCCGACTTTCCAGGCTTGCTGTAGCAGTATCTTTCCGGGCACAACTGCCGGTGCTGCTAGACCTAGCGGATCAAACACTGACGCAACACACTTGAGGAGGGATCGCCGGGTCCAAACAGACGGCCTATCGGACTCGCCTAGCGCTGCTATGCTGAGCAAGTCATCACTGGTTTTCCATTTCAGACCGAGAACTTTATCTCCGGCCTCTGGATCGCACGGGATTTCGTTGCCTCGCCACTTGCGCAACTCCATGCCAGCATCCGTAAGCACACGCACGCTGAACTCTTGCATCTCCTTAGCTTCCGAGGCATTTGAGACACTAGAGACCAAATCGTCAACGTAGAAACTCGTGAGCAAGAGATCAATACGATCTCGCTCTTTGGGTGCAGACAACGCCCGTAGCTCCTTCAAGTGATGCTGAATCACCGCAGTAAGCATGTATGGCGAGCAGTTTACGCCAAATGGCAGTTTCGTTAGCCTCCAGGTTAACAGTTCATCGCTGTCGCTTCGACCGGGCCACAAGAAACGCAGGTACGGACGGTCTTCGGGATTAACCGCGACCATGAAGAAAGCCTTGCGGATGTCCGCTTGCAGCGCGCTCTTATATTCACGGAACCGTAATAGCATACCTGCGAGACTCGGCAATAGCGACGGTCCAGGGTCAACCATGTCGTTCAACGACTTGCCATCCGGCGCCGTCGCCGAGGCATTGAACACCACTCTTAACTTCGTGGTTGCAGCGTGCTCGCGGAACACACCATGATGCGGTACATAGTACCCGGCATCGCTCTCACATGGCTCCAGCTCAATTGCTCCAAGCTCGCGGTACTCCCTGATCAGCACATCATCATAGAGCGCACGCTTCCCATTCCTCTTCAGCTTTTCAAGAAGCCGCGTTGCGATGACTCTAGCTTGAGCAAAGTTATCCGTTGGCCGACGCTTATTTCGCCACAAGAGACCCACTTGGTACCCGCTGCCCTGGCGACATAGCGGGAAAGATGGCAGGTGCTGATGTTGTTCTGGAGGTTCATCCAACTGCCATAGTTTGTCGATGTGGGCTGTGACACATGACACGGTCACCGGCTGATTGTTTCGACTTGGTGCAGACGCTGGACCAGATAATACATTACCTATCTCTGTGTTCCACACCGTCTCACCATTAACTTCCTTCTTGCTGTGCAGTACCGCGTTGATATAGTCTGCACCAATCAGCATATGTATTTCGTCTGATGTCCCTTGTTGAGGCTTGTCACTCAGCTCTACTCCCCAACTGTGCCACTGCGCAATGGTCTGCGGACTTGCGCACTTCAGGTCCAGCTCAAGCGTTGGTTTCACGAACGCGCGTACCCGAATGCTAGCGGAGCTACCCTGGATCGTGATGGCGTACTTATCCATGCGCTGTTGGGTTGGTTCCGCGCCGAACGGCTTCACCTCTACATTTTCAACCCCAACGTGTTCTGCATCGATTGCTGACACCAACGCTGCAGTCACGAATGACGCCTCAGCACCCGAGTCCAGGAACACGCGAACCTTCGCGTTTCGAGTTCTTCCCTCAACTCGTGCCACTCCGGTCATCAGCCGCACACTTGGCGAGTGTAGACAGCACGACCCAACATTCTTCTCCGTAACTATCTCAGTCGGTTTCTCCCGGCTGTAACCTGCTCTATCCAACACATCATGTATTAGCAGGTGGTGTTTCCTCTGGCATTTCGTGCATCTCGAGCCTGACCGACATTCTCTGGCCATATGGCCATACTTAAGGCAGTTCCAGCAGAGTCTCTCTCGCTGCAGAAAACCCTTTCTCCCTTCCTGTGGCAGCGACTTTAGCTGCTTCTCTGCATCTGCGACCGATATCGCCATGCACTGTGCCGACGCCGTGGGCCTTGGCACGGATCGTTCTACTGGCTTCCTGGCAGTATCACCCTGTCGTCCGTGCGCGACCTGGTAAGACGCGCCGTGCTCCTGTACCTGGCGCAGTGACATCCCGTAGCACTGCCGTTCGACCAGGTACGTCTTCATCTCAGGTCCGCATTGCTCCAAGATTACCTGCTTTGCCATTGCTTGCAGCACCGGGGACATTTTTCCTATATCGGCGCTATACTTGGTGTCCACCTCGCCATCTTCTGTCATAGCGAGTGTGGCCCACACCTCTACCTCTCGGCAAACACGGACAACGTATTGATGAAACGACTCATCTGACCGCTGCTTGCCTGTCAGCAATGTCTTCCACGCTTTATCCGGAGTCTTTCCGAGCGAGGCAAGCAACTCTCGTTTTGCTTCCTCGTAATTATTGCATCCAATACATATCCTCTCCGCTTTGCTACCCGCTAGCGCGATGCGCAGTCGCAGCAGCCATTCGCTTTCTTCGAACTCGTTCTTGGAACAGATGTCCTCGAACAGGTCAAGATAACGCTCCAATGGCTGCGTTCCATCATATGAGGGGATTTTCATCACCGGTTGACGCCCACCGCTGTGACTGGGAGATTCCTCTGTACCTCCCATCGTGGCTTTACCCTCACCCTCCTGCGCATTGGCGATGCGCTCGTTAATCTCCTTTAGTGTTTTGGCAAACTCGGTGCGGAGCGCCTCCTCTCGCCGTCTGGCACTGCGCTCCTCACGCTCCGCGTACTGTTGGAGCCTCTGCTCCACATGTACCTTCAACAACTCGCCTTCTAATCCTAACCGCTCTCCATTGTCGATAAAGCTGGCTTCCAAATTGTTCCATAGTTCCTCTGCCATGCTCGCTCCTATCCTGGCGTGGTCGCCAAATGTTGTGAACCCTGCAAGATTCTCTAAATTGTCAGGATCGTACGACCACACGGCACGAGGACAACTCTTTTCCTTTACACAGTATATTTCACTTCATCTGATAATTAACAATGAACACTAATAACACCAGCTATTTATAGCATGCATAAACAGCGTACATGCAATTCTTTTCGACTCTCTCGTACACACCACAAAAACAACAATAGAACTGCAGGGTCGCAGCAACAGCTGCTCCAAGAACAAAAAGAATTTGCAACTGTACAGAAGCAGTGCAAGAACAAAAAGAACACTGTCTTCAGACCAGCATGCACCTTGACGTGCATGCTGCAACTTCGCACTGTGCAGCCAGTGCGTACCGCACTCCCCGCACAGTCCGTGAACTCTGGACTGTGCACTCGTGTTTCGAAAAGAACAGCATTTCTTGTTTACTTCGTTGCTCTCATCCAACAAGAAATGAGGCATAACATAAGCAGATAAAACTGGACATAACAGCGTATACAGCAAAAACGCACACAACGCATATAGCGTATGCCATGCAGCAACATCAGCGGTACGGCGGAGTCGAAATACAACATTTCAACGAATACAATGCCATAAGCGCGAAGGCCTTTCCCAATTGAGAACAGGTGGTTTACAACAACGCCACAGAAACGGGAACAAGACCTGAGATTTTGTTCCTGAAAACACCAGTGCAAAGCAATGGCCAAGAACATTAGCAAAAGAACACCAAACTTGCACATGGGTTTGGTTACAAGACCCGGGGGAGGGGAGGGGGCACTATTCAAGAGAGGGCTTTATTTTTCACGGGCTCTTGGAGACTAGGGCACTATTCGAGATAGGGCACTATTCAAGACAGGGCTCTAATCGCGCGAGTACGGTAGCCCCGACGTTAGAGTTGTTCTCAACAAACCTGATCTCATGAATGCGTCGATGTCCATCCAGAGATACTCAAAGAAGTTCCTGCTCGTGTTTGTGAAAATATCAGACTTCTTGAAATTTCTTCAAAAGTCTTCAGAGCTTCATGTGAAAAGTACAGTACATGGCGTGTAGTGACGTATGTTCAAATGTGCCGATCCTAAAAAATGTTGAGAGCTTCAGCTTCAGAGTTAGGAGGGGTTGGGGATATAATTTCCAGAAATCGGAATGAAGCAAAACTTACATCGGGTGACATAATGTGCATGTGGATATTCCGCCAAGCGCTGGGCGGATGCAAGTGACACCCTCTTTTGAAGGGGGGGGGGGGGGTGGACTCTTGCTAGCACACCTAGGTAAATGCAATTGTTTGTGCTGGTATCGAGGAGTCTTTATGTTCCTGGCTCACCCAAGGCGGTCTTCTGCCTCCTTCCGCTTCTCAGCCATTGCAAGTTCACTCGCGCGACATCTGAGTACACAAATGACACAGGGCAATGCGTGTTCCAAATGAGAAAGGAGCACGAAACCGTCTCAACTGTACGTTATTGACAGTGGAGGACTAGGTAGTGGGTCTGAAGCTGTGTCCGTCCCTTGGTGGTGATATCATTTGTCCCTCCCTCCATCCCTCTCCCTGCGGGCTGCGAGAACAGCATTACTTTTGTGCTTCACACAAACACACTGGTACTTGTACTTGCTGTCTGCCAAAACTGGTCACGTGGGTCTCTCGGGAGAGGATAGAGAGACTCAAAAGGAATCTTGGAAAGATGACTCCATTGGCTATTGAACCGCCCAACGGCCGACACCCCCTGAAATTCCCAAACTACAGATGGACTTGGAAGTGATCCCACTTATGGGCTCACCACACCTCAGGAAGTGGGTGAGGACAAGGTGCAGAAAAGCGATTGACTGCATCAAGGTATTTGTCCCGGGATCCTACTGCATTCACCCCTGCCCCCAGTGAAAGTAATACTTGCTACAAGTGTGTGGGGCTAAATCAAAGTGGATCTGATATAAGCTTCACTAGCACCATTGATTACACAGCAGTTACTCTAGCCAGAAGCAGTCCATTGTTAACAGGTATGTATACTTCAAATAGAAAATATATGGAGTATTATTATGAACCCCAAAACCAACAAAGTTGGCAGGTACTTCCTCCGCGTCATCCAAATTGTCACAGTTTGACTTTTGATATAAAGCAGGGTAAGCACTCACAAGCAGTCGTACCACAGGTAAGGAATCGGACATAGACGATAGTCATCAGTATAGGGTCACGGCAAAGTTCTATTTTCTGCTGTTGGAAGCTGAACATTTTGAACTAGACGCAATTTCTTCGCTGATGTCGCTGCGATGGTATTTTCGACTCGCTGAGATCAGTCAGGCGTTGCATCCTGCACATTTCTCGCGTTTATAGCCATTCACTCGAAAACCCATCACTGTTTTACCTGAGCTGGGGTGAGAATGACTTCGTGGAACAAGCGGCAGCGCTTGGAGAAACATTGAGGGGTCAGCAAACTAATGCAAGCAAGAGCGATACAATTTATCGCTCTTGCATTCATGCGAGGAATGCTGAGACACTCAGTACCTTCAAGGCCCGTGTAGACTCTGCGTGTACACTTTACTGTAGTTCTAGTGATGCATGTGCAGGTACTGTAGGTCTACCAGTGATGCTGAAAAAAGAGTGCGCGCTTGACGTACACTTACCTGCATGAGCAGTGACCACACAGCTAAAATGAATGGGCATCCCACGGCTAAAAAAAATTCATTTCAAGATCGAGGTGATTCCGCCGACGGTAATCAACCGACCTCGCAACGATCGTGTATTGTTACTGCGTTGGCGGTGAAGTAGAAATCATCCAGAGCTAGCAGACGACAAGCATAGCAGCTCCTGTCCTGTGGAGAAAGTCAAAGCGGTTGAGATGAGGCGCGACCAACTGATACAACCTTCCTGGAAAATTTGCGGAACGATATTTTTTCGTCCTTTGACATGAGCGACGACGGGGCCTTCGTCTCCGTGTGAAACTCTCAGTCCAACTGTTCTGGAACGTTACTTTAGACTTCAGACTATCATCCTGTATAATAATATCTGTATGATTTAGCTTATGGAGTTGTCAGAAACAAGTGACAAGTCACTAGTCAAACTGCGACAATTTCGATGACGCGGAGGAAGTACAATACACCTTCAAGCATCCGAGCCCGTTGGCAACAGGCCCAACACTATCTGGCATAAGTGCACCCACCAACTGAACTAGCTGGCACACACACACACACACGCACACACACATGCACACACTCACATACAAACACACATATGCGCACACACACACACACACACACACACACACACACACACACACACACACACACACGCACACACACACACAAACCGACATGACAATTCCGTCAACAAACACCAGGCTGCTGAGCCGTGCATGCGATCAGGGGAACGCCTTGACACTCACTTGACTCCAAAGCGCTGGTGCACCCGGACTTGCTCTCGAAGCTCAATGATACACTTTCTGGAGTAAGCTGTGGTATTCTCCACCTGGGCTAATAACTCCACATCTTTTATCTTGAGCATCTGCTCTAGGCCAGCCATCTAGTAGATCACACGGAAGGCAGTCATCGAATAGAATCACAATACAGTAACAACAGTAACATATTCAAACATAGAAGAAATTAGTAACATATTCAGTTAAGCAAAAATAGAGATTGCGTCGAACTGAAGAAATAATCGGCTGAATCATACCAGGTGCTTGCGTCATCTGAATTGTGCTCCTATTGCCATAGACTTCATTGCCCACAGTTATGCTCAGGGTTCTAGCCAAAGGGGGGTAGGGAGGCGCAGCGCCCCCCTACTCGGTTTGCGCGCCCCCTGTGAAAAAGTGCCGCCCCCCCCCCCCCTACTCATTTTCCGATTTTTGTGTTTTCTCACGCCATTCAATGAAAATACAGTCGACAGTCACTACTAGAGGGTTCATAAAGGCACATTTGTGAGGGGTGCAGTCGGGGTTCACCCTGTATGTTGCATTTTGCATGGCAAGACAATTTTGGACAATGGAAAAAATGGGTCATGGGGTACCTTTTTCCCATGCCCGCCCCCTACTATATTGACCTGGCTAAAACCCTGATGATGCATGATGAAGGGGAAGACTGTGTTGAGCCAGTTCACGACTGAGCAGTGCAGTCTTCACCGTCGGCCCTGACAACGACACGATTCTTTCTTCTTTGTCTATACAGTAATACAAGCCCGGTTAACACCAAACCAACACACCGTAGTGTCCTAGCACCCATGTCTTTAATGCACCCCGTACCTTGTCTTTCCACTTCTGATCTAGTTCCTGGTGCCGGTTCTCAGCCGTCTGTAGCTGGCTTGTCAAGATCTTTTTGGACGCTGCACAAGAAGCAGAATTTCATGCCACACCAAATACACCAGTAGACGGAAGTGCCCGTATTAGGGACGTCTGGATCTGGGAAGTTTTACTTTACTCTCAATCTAGTCAGATCCTCGGGTGTGTGCGAGTTACTCCCTATTACCAATACACACCAAGGACGGGGACGGGGGGGGGGGGGGTGAACACGGTGTTTTGTGAACACTGTGGGTTAATTCCCCATGTCCAATACACACCAGGGCCCTGGGAGGGAGGGGAGGGGGGACAAATTTCCCCATGTCCAATACACACCACGCCACTGTTTCCAGCACGGGAGGGGGGGGGGGGGGAATTCCCCCAAGTCCAATACACACCAGGTCACTGTTTCCCTGTCCACTCCACAATGTAGGGCAATCCCCTCTTTCAGTGTAATCCGTGCCAGTACGAACCTTGGAGATCTTGTTCCCTGGCGTGCAGATCATCAATCTTCCTGTCCGCTTTCTCTAGAAGGTCTTCAAAGTGCGCAACCTGTCTGCTGCTTGTATTCTGTTGGTGTTCCAGCCTGAGAGAAACATCCGAACAACACTAGTGTCGATAATGCCTTTCACTACGGTCGTTATCCACAAGGTTGACTTTATTTGCGCATTAACTTCTTACTCAATTGTGAGCTGAAGACTAGTAAGGTTTTGCGATTTTAGAAGTCGATTCCTTTTCTTTTTACTATTCTAATTTTCCTCTCCTCTATTTCACAGTCATGTGCTTGCGGTCGCATTCCGCTTGTACTTGCAAATTCAAATAGAATAATGCAGTACAATTCAATTTATGAGGCATTGCGGGATAGGCATTGTGACCTACTTTGCTTCCATCTGTTTCACGGCGTCACACTGCAGGTTAGCTTCTAGCATGGCTTCATCTCTGCTGCCCTCTACAGACGTGAGACGTTGTCTCAGCTCGGCAAGAGTGTGCTCTGAGATGAGTTGTTCTGGCCGTCTCTTGGCCTAATTGTGGTACACAGAGTTAAACACACATACAGATACACACACATACACACACACACACACACACACACACACACACACACACACACACATGCAGCCAAGATAACAGGTCAGGTTCAGGAAAGGTTCCAAAATAGTCCAAAGACAACAGATTTCTGGTTCTCTTGATCTCTTTTCTCGTTGCGTTTGTGTCTCTCTGGGTGTGTTTACATAATTATGTACGTGTGTGTGTGTGTGTGTGTGTGTGTGTGTGTGTGTGTGTGTGTGTGGGCGTGTGTGTGTGCACACGTTTGTCTCTGTATCACCGTCTCCGTCTCTGGGTGTCTCTCTGTCTCGGAGTATCTCTGTGTGTCTCTGTCTCGGAGTATCTCTGTGTGTCTCTGTCTATTTCTGTGTCTGTCTGTCTGTGTCTGTAACCTATTTTCTCTTTTGTTAAAATTACATCAGAACAGTTTGCAATCGTGACATTTCATGGATGTCCAAGATTTGATGCGCTTACCTTTTCCAAGTCCTTTTCCAGTGTTCGATGGTCATTCCGCAGGCGGTCCAATGCGCAGTCCTTCTCTAAATTCTCCTACAGAGTGAACACAACCAGTGAGATATTGATACCAGTGCAGTGCAATGGTGCAGTGGACGAGATGGCGTCGATCTGATTGAAATTCTAATCAGATCCTAACGATATAGAAATGCGTCCGCAAGAAACGTACCACACTCAAAGGCCAAGGTAAATTTCAGGGAACAACTTATAGTATGCGCTTTGCTCAACATCCAGGGAACACGGTTGCGTCTGGAGAGTAATTCACAAAAAACTAGAATGTTTATGAAAGATGGTGACACACAGAGTTTCATTCATACTGTGTAACCACTGTGCAATAATTGCGCAACCATTGCGCAACCATTGCGCAACCATTATGCACACCATTGTGGGATCACCAGGCAAGAGAAGAATCCTCATGTCTGAGTATTCAAAATCCTAATGAGATAAACAGGAGCCTCGACGGCACCTGTAAGCCTTTCTCGACTGTAGCTCCAAAGCTGACATTCACAGTGATAGTGAGATAGGACTGCTAACTTCTTTCAATGTGTCATTACAACTGCAATGGTATTGTTGTACATGTGGCTGCGTGTGTAGCTCTTTGTTGTACATGCTGCTGCGCTGTCTCTTTGTCGTACCTGCTGCTGCGTTTGTGTCTCTGTGTCGTACATGCTGCTGACCCGTACATGCTGCTGCGCTGCTTTATTGTATTGCTGACACGTGCACCTTTTTGTGCTGATATCGAGTACACCACTTTTGTGCTGATGAGGGCACCAATTTCCTAAATATGTTTCCTTTTGCCAGTTGTCAGTGGTCACTTCTCTCGTCGGCTCTTGAAGTGTGGTACTGAAAAGCTTTCTCTCTCGGTATCGAGAACAACTATTTTCCCAGTCCTTTTGTTGTGTGGCGTGGCGAGAGCGTAGAGAAGTAGTTCGTCCTTCGGGCAAGACAACAGTATTGGTATCGGCCAGTGGGCTAGGATGCGCCAAAGAGCAAGAGATTAGTGGACCAAACCTCAGCACAAACTGGACATGGTCAGGGCACTGCATGATTAGTGTGACACAGGAATGCAGTCCCAGAAGACAGATAATCTGAAAGCAGTATGGACGAAACTAGAGTTTGATGATCAAGTAAGAATAACCTCTTCTAAAAGAGACTAGAGTTTGATGATCAAGTAAGAATAACCTATTCTAAAAGAATCTCGGGTGACGAGCCTAGGATTGAAGTTTAAAAAAAGAGAGAACCATAAGTTTAGAAGTTCTCCGCTTTGTCCAACACTGATGAGTATAAGCAGGATAAGCAGGATAATTGCTGCACATGTTCACTCACCATTTACCTGCTTATAATCGATATTTCTTTGTCCATCACCACTTTACATTTCAATAAAACCTTCGTAACATGTCGCTCCAGCTGATTCTGTTCATTGCCGTCTTACAATTATAATCGTTAGTGTTGGACAAATTGGATAACTTGTAAACTTATCGTCCTCTCTTTTCTTAAATTAAAAGAATCCAAGATGAAGGACGCTTACTTGTTGTAGCTTAGACAGTTCGGCCAACAAATCAGTGATCCGCTCCTGATGCTCCGAACCGGCTTTAGAAACTGCTCGATCAATGGCGGCGCTCCGCTCTTCCTTTAGCCTCGAACCCCATGCTTTCAGCTGGTCTTTTTCTTCAGTCAGCTCTTTCTCTCGCCTCTGTAGCTGCAGGGCAAGAGAGCGAGAGAGAGAGAGAGAGAGAGAGAGAGAGAGAGAGAGAGAGAGAGAGAGAGAGAGAGAGAGAGAGAGAGAGAGAGAGAGAGAGGGAGAGAAAGAGAAAGAGAGAGAGAGAGAGAGAGAGAGAGAGAGAGAGAGAGAGAGAGAGAGAGGGAGAGAGAGAGAGAGAGAGAGAGAGAGAGAGAGAGAGAGAGAGAGAGAGAGAGAGAGAGAGACAGAGAGAGACAGAGAGACAGAGAGACAGAGAGAGATAGACAGACAGATAGACAGAGAGAGAGAGAGAGAGAGAGAGAGAGAGAGAGAGAGAGAGAGAGAGAGAGATAGAGAGAGAGAGAGATAGAGAGAGAGAAAGCAAGTGTACATCAGTGCAACAGCAAACCAGAGTGACAGAGCAAGAGGAGAACAACATGGCAACAGCGCAAGAGTGGAAGCTGTACGTTGGAAGACAATCGGCCTTAGTGTACGTAGCACAATGCCTGACATCTGACCGAGTGCAAGCTATTACTGCAATACTCCTACATGCAGCGTATGCCAGAAATGGGCCACAATGAAGACCACTTGGGACTGTCAGATTTATATAATAATCTGACAGTCACAAGTGGTCTTTATAGTATTTGTACTGAGGGTCCTACCCACAATCTTACTCATGTAACACTAAGGCCAACACTGTCATATCCCCACCTCGTCATGTATACAACCTCCAATCACTTCACTAACTAAGCTTCCTTTGCAATGTATAAAAACTATATAAGAGCCCAGGTTCTCCAGTGTGCAGAGTGAGCTAACAGGGGAAACCCCTTGTGCCGACGGTCGCAGTAACGAGGAGAGACAAAATGTGCACAACTCAAACTGACAACCTGGAACAATTCAAGTGTGCTAAAATGTGCATGACAGCAAAATTGGAGTGGGGGGGGGGGGGGGGGGGGTCATGGAAGAAAGATCAGAATGGACAGACACCAAAGACTGGAAGTGTAGGGATGAAGGCTAGACTCAAAGAACTGACTGAGGAATCCAAGAAAAAAGAACAAACACGAAGATTTAACATCAGATTTTGAACTTGCAGCAGAGCAATGTTACGCTTGAATCCATTTCTTGGCTATCTCGCTGCGCTGGCTGGCAAGAAATGTGCCTTTCATATCTTCCACGCTACACGTCCTCAATACATCCTAGCCACAATGTATGTAGGAGACTCCACCGGCTTGGGATTCTTAGCCGCTAAACTTCCGGGCGATTTGAAAATCTCAAAGAGTTTCATGGAAAATTCGCCGAATTTACAGTAAAACGTGCTCATACCTGCTTGATTTTCACCTCCTCTCCATTGAGACGCTTTAAACACTGACGCGCTTCATCTTTGGCCCTTTTCTCTTGAGCAAGGCAGTCTTCTCTGCAAAGAACACAAATGGGGTGAGTACAGACAACGCTTTTATTTCTTGTGTACTCGAATACTGGTATTAGTTTAGTCCCACAACCTGCGATAAAATGATCAGCTGTAGCACCTACTCCACTTTTATGTTTATGTATCTATGTCATTAGGATCTTCCCAAGTAGGTCATTGTGCTGTTGAGATACCGAATTCAAATAATATTTGAATTCGGTATCTCAACAGCACAATGACCTACTTGGGAAGATCAATACCAATACCAATACCAACGGCAGTGTTCAGTTCGGAAATAGAGATGAATACATCCAAGTGAAGTGCACACGCTCTCTCATGTGAACCTGATGAAGGCAATTTGCCGAAACGTAATAATTATCGTGAAATGAGTTGAATTATTGCAGTGTTAATGGAAGAGAGCGTGTTGGCTCTACGCTTAGCTGTTTATGAAACTGCAGGAAGCCTCCCCACTTTTACTCAAGCAAAGTGTGTTTCTAGAAATGTCAGTACAGCTGCATATTGCACCGTGCTCTTCAATGTAAGAAGGGAGTCTAGATCACGGCCGGTTCCATAGACAAGACCCAATTGGAGAATTGGAAACCTGGTCGATTAAAGATTTAGGCGTTTCCTTGATGTTTAATGAGGCGTGCTGAGGAATTCTAATTCAGAAAAAAATTAAAATGCATTTTTTTCTGTGCTCATTCTTTTTGGGCTGAAACGGTCAGAGCTTGTGAGCTTACCAGTCAACCGGTGTTGTAAAGGAAAACCAATTTTTCACAATCGCAGCCTATCTTAAAGTAACCGAGTCACCATTGTGCAAACGGTCCTAGAAACAACCCACTCTTCAGGGCCTTTTGTTGGCCAACACAATGCAAGCAAACAGGCAATGCAATCATAGGATTCCAGTTAGAATGCTTATCATGGTGCACCGCAGAATAACATACTGGCTTCGTCTAAGTTCCTGGACAATAGCATTCAGGTGCTCGACTTCCCCTTCCGCCTGGCGTGCAGAATGCAGGCTCTTCTTGAAGCTGAAATAGGGCATAAGAGTTACAGTAGGATTTAAATAAGAAGACCACATAAGCAAACAGTTTCCACCGAGACAAGAATGCGATAATACTCAGAAAAAGGGCACACGTCAGGCTCTTTGCGAATCCTGAAAGTGTTCGGTTTCACAAGTATGTTGTCGCGCCACATGTCACGCTTTTTTGGTTTCCTCACACTTTTCTCTCCGACCTTTGTGTCATTATTGCTATGTGTATATATGTAAGTCATGCATTTTCGCTGTTTACTATTTTAGCTAAATTCATCTGTGCGCTGTTTTATCATCTCCTTACTGTACTTAATCCACTGTTCTTGTTCATTTCCCTTGCCTGTATTTCACCTGAAGAGAAGGCCTGAAAGTATACTTGTGAAACCGAAAAATTTAAAGATGTTCGTAAAGAGCCTGAAGTGTCTTTTTTATGAGTACACATAAACTTCTATTACTTTCACTAAAACAGAACACAATAAAAACACTGCCAAGCAGAAGGCACGGCAAGAAGAACTACATCATCAGTTGAAAGTGTGACCCTATCGAGAAAACCTCTGTTCATTCACCGTGTACAACTCATTGCCGTGCCTTGTCCTCTCATGGCTAAAACCAAGGCATTCTGGTTCTATTAAGCAGCATGTGGTGCACTCCGCCATACAAGACAAGCACTCTGCATCAACGACAGTAAAACATGGTATAAGCGAGCTCTGGGTTTAGCGACCACCTGCTCTTAACAACCGTCTTTCCATGTACCGACAGTTCTAAACAGACACAGTGGGACCTGGTTCTGAAGACCACCTGGCTTTAACGACCGTTTTTGCTTGCACCGTGGGGTGGTCACTTAAACCAGGTCCTACTGTAACCCCATCTTAGAGCATCTACTATAACACATGTTACTACAACGAGTTGGAAATTCAACGATTGTCCAAAATCCATGTTACTGAGAAGATACGTAAACGATCCTGCAGTCTACAGGCATATCCGCACATAACACACATGACGTATTACAGCCTCAACAGAACTTATTATAACGAAGACATGTCACTCGTTGTAACGTTAGATATGCTTCCTCGTTTACATGTATCACAGTGTTAACTCACTTCTCTGTCATCTCCGCGAGACGCTGCTGAGTATCAGCCGAGCGCGCAATCTCGCTGCGTTGGTCATCCCTTATCTTTTCGCACATAATCTCCTGCAAAACCGCACCCAGATGGACAGGTAGAATGTTAATGCATCAGAGTCTGTAGCAGGCAGCCATATTCTGAATGCCTACCTGAATTACATTGTCCGAAAAATGACTGGCACTACACCAACCTCTTCTTCCTTCAATTCTTGGGGAATTGTGTGTTCGCACCAACCTCTTCTTCCTTCAATTCTGTGCAAATAAACATGGTTAATAGTACTTGGTGCTTTTGTATTATATCTATTCTCTACGGTATGATGTTTGTATTATGAGTCTGACTTCCGGCCAGTTGGAGGGAACTGCTAACGGTTTGCCCTGAGACAGATGAAGTGTCTGCCTAAGTGGTCGCTGACATCCAGCCTTTCACTTGCCAAACCAGCTTCTTAGTGCTGATCCGGGGGGATTACAAGAGCTGCTGAGCCATGTTTGTTTTTCTGAGTTGTACAACCCAGACAAAAGGAAAATGGGCTAACAACAAGTTGCAATGGATGGTCAACCGTGCCGATGCACTAGGCCAAGATTGGATGACTGACCCGCTTGCCTTCATTGCTTGGCCCACGTGTTGTGAAGACGATAGAGGGGACGGACTGGTATAGTGATCCTGCGGGGGGCAGGCATAAAGGGTCTTGCCTAAATCATATATGATTAGACGGCTAGGCCAAATCTTCCTTCCCGTGTTCTCAGCATTGCACGAACACAGAATTCCCCAAGAATTGAAGGAAGAAGAGGTTGGTGTGAACACACAATTCCCCAAGAATTGAAGGAAGAAGAGCTTGGTGTGAACACACAATTCCCCAAGAATTGAAGGAAATTCATTTATAGACAAAACAGCATTGTTGGTACTCGGGCATTTCATAATTATGGGATTACACAGACCGCGTCACATGTGGAGCAAGTGTTAAGTTTAGGAGGTGAATGTTCAGCTTGATCCTTGAGGGTGGTAGCCTTCCTAATGATTGCAGAAAACTCCGTCTGGCTGGGTGCCATGCCAACAGTGATTGTTTTTTTAAAACGTTTGTCAGGTCCAGCAACACACTCACGGTACTTGTCATTTTCTCCTTTAACTGCTCAATCATTTGGTCTTTCTCTGCAAAAATGGTCTTGGCTGCTGCCAGCTCTGTCCGGTAGCAGCTGCAGGAAACGTTGTCACACAGATATCAAACGGTAAGGGAAACAGAATTCCTGAATTTACCTGGACAAGCATATACATGCTCACAAGCATATACAATCATGTAAAGACCCACGCAAAGACACGCATGCCGGCAGGCACACGCACACACACACACGTACACACACACACACACAACGCACATACACACAATTTAAGCTCTTTTTACTTGCTTACTGCCGCTAACTGGCCAGGTGGGTCTGACCAGGGAAAGATACTCAGAAGAAATGTCTTGTGGTGATGACTCAATTGACACTCGAATGGCCCAGCTGCCCACAATTATCCAAATCCCCAACCTATGACATATGGGTGCCCTGGAACATGTGATCTCAATTATGTGTGCAACACACAGCAGTAAGTGGGTGATGACAAACTGCAGAAACAGGATTGACGGCATCAAGGAATCTGTCCCAGTATCCAACTGCAGATACTCTTGCCCCCATTGAATACAATGCTTGGTACCAAGTTGGGCTATTTAGGAACGTTCACCCTGATGCAGGCTTCACTAGGACCATTGGTGACGCAATAGTATCTAGCGATTAGTAAGCAGGCATGTATAGTTCAAAACGGAAGTGCAGTAAAATACACCCTCACCCGGGCAGGTTGGGACCGAGCACTACCCGTGACTACGAATTGCCTGTAACTCAGAACATGTATACTTCTGGCTGGCAAGTATACATTTTTTTACGTCAATTAATAGTTTTGGACCCGTTTTTTGTTGAAAAGCCATTATGTGACTCTATATTGGTCAAAAAGGTGCAAGTTAGGCCCATGTGCCTAGATAAGGGCCATCGGGATTACTGTAATTGTAACCTGAAACCAACAAGGATGGCAAAACAATACACCTTACAGCAGCAAGCCTGACGGCAACAAACCACTGCTAGGCACAAGTGCTTCCACTATTGCATCGTAGTATTTATATTCTTTTATTCGGGTATTCCAAACAGACCCTAAGGTCTTCTTCGTCAGGCGAAATAGCACGTCATAGTACATTCGAGATCAGCGGGAAGAAGATGACGACGTCCACTAATTTAGTATCTGTGCACACGAATCTGCTGTGTGTGTTACTCTGTGTGTCAGCTATGGCATCATCGCCTGTGGTTCCATGCCTAGCATGTACGTCTGAACCATCCTGCAAAGTTTGAATGACGTAGGTTGAGCGATCGCTCCGCGAAACATACTTTTTGAAATTCTCTTCATAGTATATCTTCCACCATTGAAATTTCGAATTTCTTCGAATTTTTTGCTGAGAGGGGTGGCTTGCAACCTCGATATGGCTTGTTCCAGGCATGCTTTGGAGCCATCGCCTGTTGAAACAGTGGCGGGAAGCTGCCCTGCAACTGTTCCAACAGGAAATTAATCGATCCGAGAAAGCGCGAGTCCGCGAATCTCGGTTGAATATTAAGTATTTCAAGCCCTTTCACGACGAAGATAGAGTTCTTTTTGGAGATGGACGTCGCGGCAAAGGACATGGTGTCCGACTTCTGGCGTCTGGTGAAGCCAGTGATCATTTGTCCAGTCAGGTCGGCAGCCTAACCGTCGGTAAGCTTGTGTTTGGATCCCGTTCTGATCGATGTGGTAGATCACAAACAATTTGATATCGCACAAATTGATCTCAGCATCGTGCGTACGGTATTTTATATTCAGAAAATCCCAGAGTGTCTCTGTGTGGCCGTCCTATGCCACGAGAAACTCCAATCAGGCTCCTATGTCCTCTGCCTTCATGATAGAATGTCCACTTCGTTTGAACAACGAACACAACAATCGAGGACGGCTTTGCAATGAAAAATACAGCTATACTTGAGCTGAAAAAAGAAGAAAAAAAATGTGCTCAGGATGAGACTCGAGTACATGCATACTCTCCCAGCAGGTGAAACGCAAATTTTTGTGAAAAATGCGTGTCGCTGACTGACCAGTAATTTCGCCAGACGTACATGGATGTTCGAGGTACACGCATGCAGAGAATTCCTGGCAAAAGGAGCTGGGGGCATTGGTAGTGCGGAGGGATGGAAAGTGCCGCTAATATATTCATACACACACACACACACTCTCTCTCTCTCTCACACACACGCACACACACACACACAGAAACACAGACACTCACATATGCACATGCGCACACAATCTGGACCCAGAAAATCATGACATCACACATTACGCTCCAGCCACCTTTTAAAATTAAAGGGGAAGTTAAGGCAAAAATTAAAATTTCACCAGTTGTAGTCTTCGGGGTGCTGAGTCGAATGGTCGTGGTCCGAGAAAGCTGAGACGGTCCCTTCCTACTTGAATCCCAATCGAACTCGCGCACTTCCACCGAAACTGGGTGACTGCGCCATACTAGATGGGGATTTGTATGCAAAATGTCACTAAAAGCGCCATTTCGTTCTTATTAAAGCACGGATGACCGCGATTGGCCAATATGTTGTAGTCTTTTGGACCCTGAGTCGACTGGTTTTGGTCCAAAAAGGCTGCGATGCAGCGTTCCTCCTTTATTCCCAATCGAACATGCTTGAACAAGCGGTCACGTGCTCCTGCGTACACCAGTCACCTGGTCACCGTGCCTGCAGGGTACAACTTACTAGCCTGTTTGACCTTTTTTGGGTGCAGTCCTGTCACTCGAGTTGAACCTTGGTGTGAAAGTTGTCGCCTGCTGGCGTGGTGACCAGGTGATTTGGGCACCCAGGAGCACGTGACCACTTGTTCAACCATGTTCGATTGGGAATAAAGGAGGAACGCTGCATCGCAGCCTTTTCGGACCAAAACCAGTCGACTCAGCGTCCAAAAGACTACAACATATGGGCCAATCGCGGTCATCCGTGCTTTTATAAGAACGAAATGGCGCTTTTAGTGACATTTTGCATACAAATCACCATCTAGTAGGGCGCAGTCACCCAGTTTCGGTGGAAGTGCGCGAGTTCGATTGGGATTCAAGTAGGAAGGGAGCGTCTCAGCTTTCTCGGACCAAGACCATTCGACTCAGCACCCCGAAGACTACAACTGGTGAAATTTTAATTTTTGCCTTAACTTCCCCTTTAAGTGAATTTTACCTTAGCTGGTCAATCAGTTGCTCCATTTGGACCTGATCGTCTTCCACTGCTCGGAGTTTAAGATCCTAAGTTGTCAAAAATTAGAAAGCACACAAACATTGTTAGACTCGGGTGGAGAGCCAAGGATGAATTTATAAGAAGAAAAAATGACCGTTGGTCAGTGTCGTGCAATGTTATCGCATGAGCTGATTGTAAAGTAACTGGTGGTGTTAGTGGATAATTATAGCGTAACGTGTAGCTCTTTGATCCTTTTTTCTTTTTACAAACATACAATCTGTGCTGGGTCTTGTACAAGAGCCATAGAGTGTACGGGTGCAGACAGGCGCAACATTAAACACGGCTAGTGCAGCAGTGGACAGTACAACTGTAGAAGAACAACAATACAACAATAGCTGGCTACACTTCGGAACTGTTTTTGCTACTTCCTGTATCTTTGTTTCTCTTCGCTTGCATTGTAATACTAAGGGAACATAAAGTTGCCTGTACTCGTCGATCTCTGTATTGCATAAACCACGGCTTCTCATCCGGCGGATATGTAAAGATATTACATAAAGATAGATGTTTTTGAAAAAGAAACCATCCATTTTGGGCCGAACTGCTTTGTGCTCTCAATATTAATGTGGAGAAATATTTCTCTAGAATTTGTTCGTGACATCTCAATAAAAACTTCGTGACATGACGCTTCATCTGATTCTGTTTATTGCCATACTTAAACTGTTGTCACCTCGCCGCCTGTTCAAATATTTAAAGTGGCAAAAATGACACTGTATAACAAAGAAAATAGACTTAGCACTATGTTGCAGACTTTGATATGTACAATAGCTACAAGCAGGTGACAGAGATTGTCTGCAAGCCTGCGAAAGAATCAAGGGAATATGTAGTCTGACGAAACACACACGTAAAAAGAAAACAAGTCCAACCAGTCCGCAAGATCCGCAGCTGAGATGCGGGCACTCCGCATGTTGACAATCATATTGAATACTTCATAAGTTGAAAGAAATTGCACTGGTATACACTACCTATACCTACTATGATACTCGTGAACATAATCTCGTCAATGCTGCATATAGTAGTTGACTACCCAATGTCTGCTTTAGGACTTCAAACCAACCTGGTACACGTCTACCTGGCACAACTCTTCCAACCAGGGCAGAGCCGGGTCCGTTCAAGTGCGGCTACCGCATGTACATGTACATCAGAGAGCTGTGCATAACAGGACTCCCTGGTGTGTATTCCCAACAGGGTCACAGGTGACCCGGTGTTCTTTTCCCAAACGGGTCCAAGTACCCTCCAACCGGGTTACTGACCCGGCTCTGGAGCAGACACTGCTACCATGTGCAGCAATGCACGGAATATTTTTCACGAGTATAGTAGTAAAGGAAAGGCAATTCACACATACCTCCTTTATGACCAGCTTATTGGTCTCCATTCGCAATGAGGCTAGTTCCTCCTGCACATCAACGCAGAAACATTGTCAACAATGACAAACCAATGAATTAGCTAAAGTGCAGGGCAGGAAATAGTACGGAAAATTGAGAAAAAAGAGAGAGGATGTGAGATAGATAGATAGATTGATAGATAGATAGATGGATAGATACAGACAGTGAGTGAGATAGAGAGTGAGATAGACTGGCATAGATAGAGAAAGAGAAAGAAAGAGAAAGAGAGAGAGAGAGCTGCGCTGATGAGTTCCCAAAGAACGAAACAGCATGCTGTCCGCAGATTGAGTAGATAGATATATACATAGATAGATAGATAGATAGATAGAGAGAGAGAGAGAGAGAGAGAGAGAGAGAGAGAGAGAGAGATACGGAGAGGATAATTACTACAACCTACCCACCTTGGTCTTTGAGTGCTCCACTTCCCTATGCTTCAGTTCCTGTGTTCGCACCTATGTGTAACAGCACAGCCAACATCAAACACAATCTAGACATAGATACCTATGCTTCGAAGTACGTCCATAGGCTTATTACCACAAGGCATCTAGATCACAGCCCCCCTCACTCACAATGCTATGCCCGTTGCATGTGATACCTGGCCATAATAATACTTCCATGTCCAGCAGGCGCTCAGATATAAAGTTGACACATCGTAATTCCTATTCCTTACACGCACGTAGTCCTCACTGCCTATTGGTCGATTCCCACAAGTATAGTCGACAGCATAACAATGCATTTATAAACTGCCCCTATGAAATAGCCTATGTGCTTACTTCCAAATTTGCGTAAAGCCGGCGTTGCGTCTCCCTCAGAGTTTCCATTTCACGTCTCAGGATGTCCATGTCCTGAGATTATAGTTCAAGAAAATACAAATTAAATTGAGACAGGGTTTGGCCGTTTCGTCTGGTCTTGCCGTCCCGTCATCATCCCAGGCCAGCATTCCATGAAGCCTTGGAATGTAGCTTGTGCTCGGCTCGATGGCGCTGGCCTTTCCCTCTTTGGAATTAGCACTAATACCCATGAACCTTCCAAGTTGGAAGGCCATTGGTTAGCGCTATCGAGCAGTGCTCAAGCTGACTTTCATGCCGTGGAATGTTTCAGCATTCCCTGTCAGTTTTGTGCTAGATTGTGCACACCTGAGTGTTCGAAATCTGGTTTACTTGGAGGGAATCGATCGCATAACCTGTGCCCACAATTTCCCATGTTACAAAATTTTCCTTGGCTCACCATCTGAGTTCTTAATTTAAATAAGTGACTGGGAGACAACAGTCGTAAAATAGCAACGAATAGAACTACAGTACAATACAAGTACTTTTTTAACTGCTTGAAAGGCCAAATGTTGCTGGTGGGGTAGAGCTTATGGTGGGTGTGGGGGATACTGAACCATATGGTATTAGCAGTGTCACAAAAGTCACTGCTGTTCTCAACACAGGGTTATTATCACTGCTGTTCTCAACACAGGGAAATTATCACTGCTGGACTCAACACAGGGTTATTATCACTGCTGGACTCAACACAGGGAAATTATCAGTGCTGGAATGCATCAGAAGTTAAGTTGGAATGCAGCCTGCTTTTTTATAGGTTTCCTGTTCATTCAATTTTTGGTATAGGTGAGGGATAACCGAAAACGCGTTTAATCACTGTACGCTAAGAGTTTGCTTTGCATTGTATCCAGCCAATGTCCTGTTTGTTGGAAAAGCACGTGGACACAAGAGGACCGGATGACAGATGTTGGCTAAAGAACAAACAAAATGTTCATTCATTTTCCCTCGCAAGAGACCGAAGGCTGTTGAATGTTGATTGTAGGCCTTGCCTCCCCTTCAAGTCCGACTTCCTCCTTACACATTAGAACTCGTCAACATCCATTCCAGAACAACTGGCCAGAAATCCATCCTACTGCATGCACAGTGGAAACAAAAACTGGAATGGGAACCTTTGACTCCAATGGTGGTGGATAAATCATCAGAAGACTCTGTAGCACAAAGATGACAGCAGTAAATGTTCACATGCGTATGATTGGTCTAGATCTGAGTAAGTCACCTCGCGTACCTTAGTTCGCACCGGCGAAGGCGAAGGCCGTCGAGGCGTCGATGTCATGTGTGGCCCTGCTCCAGGCCGCCTGGCGTCTGGTGACCTATGATTCCAACCGCCCATGGACCAAACAAAACACAAATTGGACTGTGTAAAAGAATTTGGGATAAAATGTGGGCTAGAGGTCGGCCGTCTTGCGTGGAGTAACCAAATGGACATACGGTTTGCCACTCATGAGTAATTTTACTGGTCATTACTTAGAGGCACATGTACCTTTTTTGGGGGGAATGTTCATGTTCAAGCGAACCAGCACAATACTGAGTCCCTAGCTTTGGAAATGAAGCGAGCCATCCTTGTTCACGCATTGGAAGTACTCGCGATTTACTCAAACACCAGTAGGACATACTTCAGTGTGTTGTGCGCCTACGATAACATTTTATATGGACCACTCTGCCATGCTGCTATTCTCAACCAAGCGCTGCAATAATAGAAGACTTTGATGCTCACATGCTGCATGAGATAAAGTAACGTTGCAACAACAATGACACGACTTGGAACGGCGTGAACTCAAAATGAGCTTCGTGAACATTTTCTTTAAAAGGTTTTAGTCTGTTTTCTATACTGTTCTGTGGTATGCGTCACACTATACGTATAATTAGAATAGAACAAATCACATGGAAACGAGTTATGAAGCAACTATCCACGACTGTAACAAGATAATATAAACAGTATCCGAGTTAAGTTTTCACACTATAAGTCCACAGTCAGTTGTAACACATCACATTCTCTTACATGATACTGCCCAGGGAATCTCCAACCGACGAGAGAGACTCGTGTACATTGTCCATGGGTGCCTTCGGTCGCCCCGCACCGGCAAGGCGCTGTAGCAGAGGGTTAGCAGGCACAAGCAAATGGTGTGATACAGACGCATTTTTTCACTAAGCAGAGCGAAATCCAAGTGATGTGACGTATGGACGCATTTAACACGGCACAGTGCAATCCAAGCGATTATGACACATAGATACAGTGAAAACATCACAGTGCAATTTCAAGTGACTTGACGCATAGATCCAGTTATCATGGTACACTACAGTGCATTAAAGTGGTGTGGCAAATTGGGCGTAAAACGAATGTATCAATTTGCCAAACCAGCCTTCTTCATTAAAACGAACAAAAGATCTCCAACTCGGATGGTGAGCCAAGTAAATTATGGTTCAAAGGGTTCACCACAAAGGACAAGTTGCGAATCAAAACTGCATTTTACTATTTTTTTTTCTAAAAAAGGGAGAAGGACAAAATGTTACGAGTTATGACTAACTGTCCACCAACGCAACCAGGTCATATACAGTTAGGGAGTGCGACAAAATGACACAAAACTGACAAGGAGTACTGAGGCGGCACGGTGAGAAGTATAATGACAACACAACAATGGGACGAGTAGGCGCTCCAAGAAGGGCGTGAGAACTTCAGAATTGTTTTCTAGATTGCTGTACACTTGTTACATACCGGCAATCTGGAAGTTGACCCGGAGGCCTGGTGAAGCCTTAGCACTCCAGAGCTGCCCTGGAACGAACCTGAAGATGGACTGATTAGCTGTGGCCGACTAGCCGCCAACAAGGAATCATCGCCACCTGCCGGCAACAGCAACAACCAATTATGATATGAATTAGGAATCATGACTCAAGTTCCTTCTCAGCAGTTTGTTTTAGATCCGATATTGTTCACTTTATGGTACAGTGTACCATATAATAATATCTTTCCTTTGTAGTCCAGCTCTCAGTGAGATGATGATTTCTGATGACAATCACATGAAACGATGTCAAATCTTTTAAATATTGTTCCATTGTTCTCGTGGTATGAGTGTGCTCACTTTACTTTCATCGATGTTACGTGTCTTGTCTCTACGCCGACTTTTTAACTTCCAGTAATGTTAGAGTCAGACCTAGCTTAACCGCACACATCCATTTTCCACAAAAAAATATCCGGATAGGCGAGGGAACCGGATAACTGGACACACATACTGTATGCATTAACTGGTTTTAGGGAAAGAGACAAACGGGAAAAGTCTGAAGAAAAAATTGACTGTCACCACCAGGATTCGAACCAGGGACGTTCGCTTGTAGCCAGCAATGCTCTAACCACTGAGCTATGGTGTAGTCGTCATCCCAGTATACTGTATGCATGTGGCATATCAAAAGGAGTGACATCGTACATACATGTAGACGGGTCCTATGCAGTACAACTAGCGTGTACGATGTAAAACAAGCCAGAAAAATGAGAAGTGCATGCAACTGAGTGCTATCCGCATGCAGACAGCAGGTCAAGGACCTCATTTGTTTGTACAACTCCCTGTTTCTACCTTCTGCAAGTCACGTGCAACCGGATACGACGAAGCTTTTTGTACACATTTTAACCAGTTTGTACACAAAATCATGCACCGGTATGCGGATCGCGCGGTCCGGTTATGTTGTATGCGTAACATATGCTGCACAATGCGGATCGCGCGGTCCGGTTATGTTGTATGCGTAACATTTGCTGCACATCGCTAAACAGCGATTTTTTTCCGGATGGCGAGGGTTCCGCATAAAAGAGGACCGGATAAGCGAGGTCTGACTGTACCATCATTAGTTATTCTCACTGCGAGAAAGCAATACATTATGGGCCCAAAATCTCAGACAGGATTGCCCATTGGAATTCAGGCATGACAAACTCTGCATCCCTGTACCGAGTGCTGGTTTACCTGCTACATCCACATGTATATTTGCTCAATGCGACAATAGGGACTGAATCAGCAGCAGAGCAGCCCCGCATGAGTGGAAAATTCTCCACCTAGTGTCACAGCACTGGGTGCTAGGACCCGTGGTTCCTAAACCCCATATCTACACAAATTACCGCATTTGTAAGTCGGATGTCCACCCAATGATACATATTATAATATGTACTTCAGTAAGGAAGGAACACATAATAATTATACCACGTCTTTTGAATTTCTCATGTTTCTATAATCTCAATACTTGTCTTTCCTTTCCAAACGAAGGAAAGTATTTAGTTCGAAAATATCCATGCAATTTCACACATCCACAGGGCCGTAGGAGGCGGTCCGGCAGGTTCGGCAGCTGCCGGATCAATGTCTGGCAAAAAAATAAAAAAATAAAAATAAAAATAAAAACTCTGGAGCTCACACACCATGATGTGTGCAATAAGTAGAGGTAGTACATGGTATGAAGAGTTCATAACCCCTGGGGGGGGGGGGGGGGGGTATATACCCTTGATGTCATGTACATGTACCATGGCAGGAGGAATGGCAGTAGGTCACAGTACAGGACAACACCCACGTGCACTGTAGATCTGCATGCATGACTCAGTATGAAGTACTAGCACTAGTATACGCGTGACGGTATCTTGTAACACGTATGTCACATGCCTTTTTCAGTGCATTGTGAACTGCTACTCACTATGTACTACATCTAATCATTGCTGACAATAGTAACACTAGTAATTATCACTTTTCACCACTGGCTTGTGGCAAGTTGTGGACGTGTTACCCCACTTCCTGCATTTCTTTGCCAGTTGACATGATCGTGACATGTACATGCCTTGTATACTAGTAGAGTACTGGACAGTCATGCCCGTGAAGCTTCCTATTCTGCACTTCCTGAAATATATGGATTCTTTTCTTCCCCCAATTCTTTCTAGATCTGCTTTGTACCAGAAATATTCCATTGCAATGTTCTTTCTCCTCCTCCAAAGGTCCATTTTGGTTTTTTTATCACATGCATTTCCATAAAGATACTGTTGCTATGCCTTCATAGTCTTCAATAAGTTCTGTTTGGACGAACACAACATGCTGAGTGATGCCCTTTTCCTGACTCATGCAGAAGATCCTTCTTCCTTTTCTCGCCATATGTCACTCTGCATGGTCACGATTACATACACATACACGCACAGTCATGTACATTTCGTACACTCATGTACCACATGTACTGGCATTTGTGTAAGTGGGCTGGGGGGGCATCGTGGTCGGATCTTGCCGGACCAACCAAAATGAGTGTGCTACGGGCCTGATCCAGTCAATAAGGCACTTCTCCTAATAGTATGGTATCGAGCATCTTCGTTCCTTTCTCTTCAAGGATAGTAGAGGAAATGGCTCAAGTGGGAAAGGACCTGTACTAGCGCTTTCCCGGTTTTCTTAGCCGTTTTGCGAGAGCATAGACAGCTACAGAACACTTCTTCCAAACATTGAGGCACCGATGCGTGTTCACTCAGGCCACGCATGATTTCAATATGCCCACCAGCTAACACTCGAGATAATAACAGTCAGGTTTAGCATTCCGAATTATTTCGTTTAGGCGTTCTTCGGTCATTTGTCATAAATGTCGAATTTTCGAACCAACATTTGTTTTGCAAGTCGAACATCGTGTGTTTTCATTTCGTGAGCTCCAGCATCAGCAACGTCCTGTCCCATGCTCTATTTCTTGCTGATTCCAACGAACTTTGATCTTCCAAAGAGTGGAGGGCTAAACCTGCCTAGAAACAATCATGAAAACCGTTGGCGGCGTGGTGCGTGCCATTCAAACGCCAGTGATTCCTAGGCTAGCACATGGACTTACTCGTGATTTGGTTTGTGGACGACTGGCTAAATGAACTGTGACCCTGGCTGAACGAGCCGCTGCTGCTCTGGTCTGCCATTTCCACAATGCTCCCAAACGGACGCTCTGCACTGCTGGATCGCCTTGCTTTCGTCGTTGCTTTAGAAGCGAAACAGAACGAAGCGCTGAGCTGAACAGCAAAGCGTTGATGATCAGTAGATGCTAGAGCGCTAGCGGCAGCGCAGAGCTACGTGTACACATATTTTCGCTTGCAGTGTAAGCCGATACATGACTGTACTGAGTGATTGCCCATGCCTGCATGCACTCATCAGCTCGCGCTCGAGTTTTCGATTTTCCCGCTACCGGTACGCGGTATGGAGTCAACTACAAACATGTAGTCGCAGTTGCGACTGCATCAAGCGTTGCTATGACAGCATACCTAGTGCTTCATGCTTACGTTTGACGATTTTTGTTGCCGCGTGTCTGTACTGTAGTGTAGTGTAGACTCTATCCATGAATGGCATGATCATGATGATCTACTTACTCTTACTACCATGTACTACTGATAGTACTGTACTACAGTGCTGGCACCTGAAATCCGACCCACTTGGCGGATTTCAGGTGCCAGTACTGTACTAGACTAGTCTAGTCTTAGATTTGTGTTGGGTTTCAGTTCCCGTTATGGCAACACACACAGTACAGGATTGAGTCTTTTTGTTCACATTCTTGGCGCGTTCATTCATTTATTTTTTGTATTGAGATTTTGTGTCATAAAAATTATGTGAGCACAGTCATCATGGTCATAGACTCATAGACTCATAGTCATTTTGCTTTGCCCATAGGCATAGGCCATACACATGGTACAAGAGGCTTTTCTAGTACATCACTAGTGCACTACATGTCTACCTTGACACAAAGTGCATTTATTGATTCTGCAGCCTGGGATTATCACATGTATTGATTCCTGTTGGTTACGTATCTAGGACAGTCTTGACCGAGTACGAGGTCAATAAAGATAGCAAAAGCCAGGCAGAGGGGAGGGGGGGGGGGGGGGGGGGGGGGCAGCCTTTTCGTGTGACGAGGTTTTAATTCCTATTGACCTCGTACAGTACAAAGTCATTATCAATTTTACCACGACAAACCAAAGCATGTATTCAATCCCTGAAAGTAAAAAGGAGCCAATATTATGAATATGCACAGTCTACATAGCCCTAAGGAGGGAGATATGCAGGAATAACATGTGACTGCTTAGCTTAGGTATAGAAATAATAGGTGAAAAATGATCAACAGACAACAGTAAGGAGATTTATCTGGATCTGGCTCTGGAAGTATTACACTCACAAAGCGAAGGTGTAAAGGATTGATTTAGTGGTTCAGTGATACTATAGGTCATAATAAGAGAGTCATGCATCGGGCAGTGTGGCCGCATGATTTATTTTCTAATCTTCTGATCATCTGATGTGGCTGCGGAAACTGCCATCGAGCACGTGAAACTGTCATTGGCCCAATGCATGAAAATCGGCGCTGGGGTATTGCAAACGGCTCAGACTATCTGTGTACGTACAAGTCCATGCATTTACCAATGCAAAAAAAGGAGAAAACTGAACCCAAATGAAGAAATGCACAGCAGAAAATAATTATCTGACTTGTCAAGTGAGAAAGTAGTCCGTGGCTGAAGCCTCGTACAGAGTTCTCGTTCTCTCAGTAGCATATAACTCTAGCTTCTAGCGTTGCCGTCTAATCCTGGTCAGGGACTGGACACCTGGCTGAGGTGCTCACAGCTGAGGCAGCCGGGCAGAATGAGCACACTTCATCCCTACCGTCACTGGTCAGCCTGTAGGCAAAGCCGAATGCACTTTGGTCCATGTGTAAAAAGGGAGTACCCGCCTCGGAATGAGCTATTCTCCCCATCAGGAACATGTTTCCAGAAGTTGGAATGACTGTGCATTGGCCACACCCTGACGGCGCTTTGTTAACAACCAAAGTGTACCTCGTTAGTCCTGCGATTAGTTCTACAGCTGCGCCGTCTTCATTCCTTGCCAATATTCTCTCGCCATGTACGATTCCAGTTACCCGTGCTGTGTAGATCATTGCATTATTTTGTGGTGGCTCCGAATGAAATTGCACTCGAGCAGTGATGGCTGAACAGGATATATCAAACACACCCACACACCCACACACACACACACACACGCACACACACACACACACACACGCACGCACGCACACACACACACACATGCGCGCGCACGCACACACACAAACACACACACACACACACACACACGCACACACACATACATACACACACACACACATACACATTCACACACACACACACACACGCATGCACACACACATGCACACACACACTCACTCACACACACACACACACACACACACACACACACACGCACGCACACACAGACATACACACACACACGCACGTAGATGTGCATGCACATACACATTCACACACACACACACACACACACACATAAACACACACATTAATAAATACATCTCTGATACGGACAGCCCTGGTCCGTACGTGACAACGTTCCTCAAGCTCCAAGTGCGAGTGTGTATTTATCGTTAGTTTTTGACTTTCGATAACTCTTGGGCGATGCACCCATATGGGCCATAGTCGAGACAGTGTCCGTACCAAGCAAGCTGATGTCTTGTAAGAATACATGTAGGTACTGGGCAAGTTCACAGTACTCGGGAGATGTTCCTGCTGCTCAGGGGGGATTACATCTTATCAGATTTCTACTGTCCAAGCAGCACAAGTGTAGTCAGTTTCAGATTGACACACAGTCAATGAACAATAATGGACTGGGATGGAGAGCCAAGGCTAAATTCATAGAAAAGAAAAAGGACCAAGGAACTACAACTGGTGGTGTTAGTGGACCTTTCTAGAAATCAATGGCCAAGAGCAGTCCGAATGATCTTACCAAAATCGGCGTCGTTGCACATGGTGCTGCGTCTTACTTGCTCACTCTCACAACCTTCAAGCAGCAGCAGGGCACAGAAAAGATGTTTTAACTTAATACAACAAAAAAAGCCAAAAGCTGAAGTGTCCGGAAAGCAAGACACTGACAACTAGGAACAACAACACCAATAGCAAAAATATTGCAAGATCGCTTCATACTAGTTAGAATCGAGTAGAGCTGAGCCTTGACTCTCTCTTCCCGTGCTTTTGACAGCTAGCATGTTACGCCCTTATACCTTGTGTGATGAAAAATAAAAACAACAACGACTACGACGACGACGACGACAACAACAACAACAACAACAACAACAACAAGGCATTCCTGACCAGGCCTGGTTTCTTCGTCTATTTGCGCAAGCTGTTAAACATACAGATGACAATCTAGTCAGCACAAACTTACATCTATTGTTGGCATTGCAGGTATTGTTGGAATCCTTGCACTGCTGACCGGTAGCAACACCTTCGCACGACAAACGGGTTCTGAAGTTGTTCTGATTTCCGCCACAGCCGCCATAGGTGAAACGCTCGCATCTGGATGAGGAGCAGTTGAAAAAGTGCCGTTGCTGGGTGCCGTTACACGGGCCTTTGTCCGGGGCCATGTGACACACCCTCTCTGCAAAGCACAAACATAACAAACGTACACATGGGACACGCCTGGTTAGAACCGAAAATCCCATTCACTGCACCCATGCTTTCCTCGTGCCAGGCCACGAGTTCCAAACTAACTGTGGGTCGCAGCACGGCTTGAAAAATCATTCCGCTTCCAAGCAGGACTTGAACCTGGTACCCTCTGTTTCTCAATCATGGTCATAAACCATTCCACTATGCCTGCCTGCATACACGAAAAGGTCCAGTGGAATGTGTCTCTACTCCGAGAATCTTGCTCCATGCAATCATTGTGTGTGTGCAGTGGAGGGGGGTGCGCGTGCGTGTTTGTGTGTATGTGTGTGCGCGAGTGTGAGCGCGCGTGTGTGTGTGTGTGTGTGTGTGTGTGTGTGTGTGTGTGTGTATATGTGTGTGTGTGGATGTGTATATGTGTGGATGTATGGATGTATGTGTGTGTGTGGGGGGGGGGGGGGGGGGGGCTCTGGTGTCCTGATCTGTGAGCACTCTGATTGAGCACTCTGACCTGCTCTCAACTTGGCTCAAGGAACATCATGTACATGGAAAATAATAGATTGAGTTCAGCAGAAAGGACCAACGGCTTACAAGTTATCCGTAGTTGTATAACCCTGGTAGTGGTAACTATAAGCATGATAATGATGAGTCATAACGTGGAACAGTTGCCACGATACTGACTCCTATGGTACTGATATAGGGCTTGAAAGTGCTACGTCACAGCATAGCAACAATTTCAAAAATTCAAAAATTGGATCCACTTGGATCCAGTTTTTGTATGGATCCAAGCACATTTCAAGCCGTCTTACTCTCAGCAAGGTGATGTAACCAGTGAAACTGACTGATTTGGCTACTGGGGGCGGGGTTACAACTGGTGGCGAAATAAAAGTCACACCTGCATGCGACATGAGTGGGTTGCTATGCACCCACATACTTAGGCAATAGTAAAGTCACACCTTAGTGGATCCAAAAATAGAAATCTGATGTCAACTTACTACTCCCTGGCCGTTTTGACGTCATCACTTTCAAGCCCTATTCAATGGCCTGACGTTTAGCTCCATGACGTATGGAATACGCACGCCACTAGCCTTCCAACTTGGAAGGTTCTAAGTTAAGTGAAGTCATAACCTCGAACTTAGCATGCTTTACATGGGCGTTCGCTCGCGTTTGACTAGCCGTCACTGTACTTGCACATTGCGTCACGACGCATCCGTGTGCCACCACATAATATGTACAACAGGGTTGGGTGACATGTAAAAGGTCGTACAAATCCGTAGAAACGTCCCGATTGGGGGAGTATAATCTTTGCCATGTAGCAAATCACTTTTTGTGTGTTGCAGGTTGGAGGTTTAGTTGCACGTACTGCAAAGTCGACAAATGGCCCATTCAAATTTCGGCCTCCCAGGGCTAAAACACATTTCGGCTGCAACAAATTGTCGGCCTGTACTGTTGTTGCCTGTATCGGCTGTCACACTGAACCTTGCAAAACAAAATTTCGGCTGCAACAAATTTTTGGCCAAATATGATCAGGCCGAAAATAGCTGAAAATAAATACGCGCCGAATATTTGTTGACTTCCAGTACTTAGTCGAATTTCCGTCGAATTTTTTATTTTTTTATATTTTTTTTACAGTACTCAGTGTATTAAACGGGATATCAAATGTACTTACCTTCGATACATTCTCTGGAGCACTGCCTGCTTGTTTGGAAGGTGTTGTCTTGTAGTCGTTGACAGCCGAAAGCTTCGTAGCTTTGACATTGTCCATTTCTAAAGTTGAAGTAGTCTCCAATCTTTCGTCTACAGTTAACAGCAGGGCTGGCGTACTTGGCAAAGTCTGAAATAGGCGGACTCGTCCAACAACGGCCACCTGCTCACGTGTATTGCACAAACACACACACATTGAACGCAAGCACTTGAATATCACGTCAGTCACGCAGTGCACATGCTGGTACCGGTACGCATAAGTAAAGGATGTGCACATGATAATTAAGCAGAAGATTAATCAATCAGACAATCCACCCAACACTCGGATGAAAGGTCCGTCCATGGCCACCATGGACGGACTTGCCACCGGAATCCAAAGGGATTATTCTATGTGCCTGGTGAAACCTGTATAGTAAAAACTGTGAAGGTGAGCACTCTGTTAAGATAACTACCTGCCCCGGATGACTAATACAACGTTGCAACCCCCCCCCCCCCCCCATTTCGATGGCAGGTTGCAACGCTAACGCCGAGACCTCTGGTCGGTCGAGTTGCTCCCTGTACATCGGCACGTCGTCGCTACATCCCCTGTGTCTTGTCTTGTGTTTGTCTCCACATGTCTCTTGGTAGGGCTGTGTTCCCAGTAAAAAAACGGGAACAGTGCATGTTATTTCCAGTCAAATAACCTCGGAAAAGGGAATATCTCCACAATAGAATCCGCGTGGCGAAGATCCCTTCAGCGGGCACTTTAGACAGGATTCACTGCATAGACATCAAAAAGAAAATCCCTACCTTTGTTGCACTCTTCAAGAGGTAATTCCCCAATGTGCTGCCCGGTCTTGCAGATCTGCTGTTGGAGATGGCAGCGAGTGTCATACGTCTTGCCATCGGAACCACACAACGCATCACTGCCTTGAGTTGGTTTGGGACAGTTAGCGATACAGCGGCAAGAGTACTCTTTCGGTGATGTTCTCGACACATAGCATTCTTCCCCTATCCCCATACAGACGTTACTGCAGTTTGCTGCAATCAACCAGCAGAAGACAATAATCAGATAAGAATACGCTTGTGTGTGTGTGTGTGTGTGTGTGTGTGTGTGTGTGTGTGTGTGTGTGTGTGTGTGTGTGTGTGTAATAGCAGAACCGCTCTTCCCCATTCATTTTTTGGGCCGGACATGCGTCATTCCGTCGACGCGGTCCACCACGGTCCACACTTCCCCTACTCATGATGTCATACCATGACGTGCAACATGGATTTCGCCGTCCCAGATCTGACAAGTGAAGTTGCGCACTCTGGGGGATTATGGACTCTTGCTGAAATGTATAACTATGCACCCATCACTATCCCAAGACTTACCAACGCAGCGCATATTATACGGACTGTGAGACCATTCACCCTGGACACTGCAAGAAGCACGTACGACAGCTCTACGGTTATTGCGTACCAGCCGATAGTATCCCTGCCTGCAACGCACCTTCTTGGCCCCTCCCAGGCAGGAGTTGCTGGACTTACGGCCAAGATGAGTGTAGCCATCACCTGACCAGACCTTGTAGTCTGAACAGCGGGAAACTGCAGGTGAGCAAACAGAGCATACAGGAGAGATGTAAACACAACAAATTCAAGATCAAATCCTCTTCGATCACAGGGTTGGTAAATCGCCTCTTTGCCTCCACTGCAGCATGTCAGGTACACAGCAAAGCATCCTCATCTTCAGTACTCCACCACTATGCTCTCAGCCTCTCAGCTGGACCGAATTGAAGGTCTGCCAGCAGTTCTCCCATTGAACATCATCAGAGAACACCTGACAGGCGAATTATTGGAAATATTTGCCTCCAGCCGAGTCTCACGCGAACTGTGAATTATATATAAGACATAGACCAAGACGAGGTCTATACGGGAAATATAGGCCGAGTAAAAGACCGAGTTTCGCCGAGGTCTTTCACGAGGTGCTGGGTTCGAGTCTTGCAAGTCGATCCTTCTTCAGCATCAAACATATTATGCACTTTAAAGCAACACAAGCGCCAATAACACACCTCAGAGATAGCACTGTTGTGGGATTACTGAAACCCTCCTCCGGTAAGCTAGTGGGTGCATCACTAATGCCTGTATTTCCTACAGCTGTAGAGTCTGTCAATCATACGTACCAAGGCATGCCACGTCACCTGTGAACTCCCCTCCGTTGTCTTCATGCACACCATATCCTGAGCGAGTCAAAGCCGTCGCTCAAGACTCAAGCGCAGTGACTCGAAGACTCGTGTACAGTGATATCAAGCTCAGTGACTTGAAGACTCATGCACAGTTAATCAAGCTCAGCGGTTCAAGCAAAATGGCTGACTGACAGTGACTCCACAAAGCGCCATCAAAGCCACAATAATAACTTCTTAATACGTACAACACAACATTTAGTGTACCTGTGCAGTTCGGCACACCATCAAGCTGCCAGTTCAGCTCCCCGGTAGTGTGGTCCAACATACACACAGCAGTTACTGCCGGCGTTCTCATGCAACGGGCACGGCAGTTGCTGATGGACACCCGGACGCCTGCTGAGCGATCCGCTGGAATCCTCACATCAAATCGAGTCTCGTCGACTCCTGGTATTGCTTGCGAGCAACTCGCAGCTGTGGACAAGACAACCACCAGAAGATCATCACAATTGATGAAAACAAAACATCATTCCAGGGGATGACTAGGGTTTGCTTTCATGCCATCGAAAGCACACTGATGATGACAAAGATTACAAAAAAGAACATTGACATTCTCTTTCCAGGACTCTCTACAAGCAAACGGATGGGTACCGGTGGGTGGTATATTCTACAGAACAACATGTGAGAGGAGCGGTGTAATTGTCATGAGCGAGGGGAATAAAGAAACACGCGGCAGAAAACCTCATTCACATGTATAGTGGACCTCTCTTAGTATGAACTCTGTTAAGACATACGCTTGCTTAGTACAAACGTTGTCAGGAGCACGGGTGTGTGTGTGTGTGTGTGTGTGTGTGTTTGACCCAAACTCAAGTACATTGCATGCCAGAATATGAAGAGTCTTGGATACAACGTACAAATTCCTACTGCCCATTTGGTACACCTTATCAGGGTTCTACTGTACATACGGGCCACTTGAAACAAGACAAGGTGTACACTATCAGCCACACATGCCGGTTGGCATCTCTGTGTGTCAATACAAACAGTGGCAAGTGTGGACCACGCATAAGGTATTTGAAAGAACTGACCGTTTTTGAGTAAGCAGATGCCTAACTTCTTGACAGACCACTCTCCGCTGCTTGTACAATGCACCACAGGGAAACGCGGGACCAGCTTTCTGCTCGAGTCACTACAGGACAGGCGCACAGAAGCCCCACACGGCTGCGGCAATGTGGTCAGATTTCCTGCAGAGCTCTCGATATCGGGCATTTGATGACTTGGAGTCGCACCCAGAAGAGACTGCAGAGGAGGGCACGTCTTGCCTGGGCAATTGACACAGAACAGAAGGAAACTTGGGTTGCGGTGGACCACTTTTACAACACTAATACACAACACACGTACGTCTGCATGCGCGCACAGTCATCATCCATCTTCCGTTAAATCAAGATACTCTTTCCTATCCAGATAATCCCCTGTCACTTCTAGAAGGTCCATTTCATAATAATAGGCAAACTGGTTTGTAAGGAAAATGGCAGTCTGAGCACCAATGTTCAATTTACCCACAAAGACGCACACTTTGCAACTCTCTTTGGCCGTTTAAACGCGTACCTTTGTCTTGAAACATGTTGCTGTACACTCATAATCCTGAATAATGTCAAGTAGATATCACTCACTACAATGCGGGACAATTTGAAGCTATTTTTGTAGTAAACACTTTCTAGACACACAGCCACTTACGTTCACAGACCAAACTGCTACTGTCGGACCAGGTTTCGTTGTCACACGTAATTCTCAGCGATGTGACATTACTACGCGAGGCTGGGAGATGGCAGGTATTGCACTGGATGAAAGCACGAGACACTTCAGAGACTGGGCACGACTTTTGCGGGTCGGAGTACGTAACGTCCTGGCCTGCATCGACCGGAATGCCACGGCGCTCGCAGCAACTTGCTGAATCGGGACCAAACAACAAGCACAGCAAGAGACAAGAAACGTTTTTGCATAGTTTTCAATTTCCAACTCCCAACACACTACATTACAGGAAGGAATCCTAGAACATTACTGCATGCCAAAATATCGAAGAGACTAGGATGACCAGCATCGAAGAGAGGATGACCAGCATCGAAGAGACTGGGATGACCAGCATCGAAGAGAGGATGACCAGCATCGAAGAGACTGGGATGACCAGCATCGAAGAGAGGATGACCAGCATCGAAGAGACTGGGATGACCAGCATCGAAGAGAGGATGACCAGCATCGAAGAGAGGATGACCAGCATCGAAGAGAGGATGACCAGCATCGAAGAGACTGGGATGACCAGCATCGAAGAGAGGATGACCAGCATCGAAGAGAGGATGACCAGCATCGAAGAGAGGATGACCAGCATCGAAGAGACTGGGATGACCAGCATGGAAGAGACTGGGATGACCAGCATGGAAGAGACTGGGATGAGCAGCATCGAAGAGACTGGGATGAGCAGCATCGAAGAGACTGGGATGACCAGCATCGAAGAGACTGGGATGACCAGCATCGAAGAGACTGGGATGACCAGCATCGAAGAGACTGGGATGACCAGCATCGAAGAGACTGGGATGACCAGCATCGAAGAGACTGGGATGACCAGCATCGAAGAGACTGGGATGACCAGCATCGAAGAGACTGGGATGACCAGCATGGAAGAGACTGGGATGACCAGCATCGAAGAGACTGG